TATGACTACCAGCAAGTGGTGGTAGTGATAAGCAGAGAAGATGAGAAAGGAGATGGAGAGTTAGAAAAAGGAGATTGATTTTCAAGAGAATGAGAAAATTTGATAAAAATCCATGAAAGATTAGGCAAGAATGGAGGGAAATTGATCTTTGGAGTTAAAGCTTTAGGAGGGAAATTGATCTTTTGGGTTGGCGCTTTGGAGGGATTTGTTTAAAATAGAGGGAAAGTGAAAATGAGGACGGCGGAGGCGGTACGGCGATTGCATCATTTTGCCACTGCCATTTAGGGTTCTTTTTGTTTTACTTTTTTGGACCAAAAGACTTGGGCCTTTATTCGGTTTTTGGTTATTAGATCGTAGCCGCCGCCGCCGCCAGATATCACAACATATTATCGCATTGCTAGATCCAGTTTAATTGCCACCGTCGTGCTTGCTTTACTTGATGCTCTCACCTATTGTGATCCACCTTGTTTTGTTCGTCAATCGTCTTCTTCGATTCGCCATCGTCGCCACCCTTTCCCCTCCCCCAACTCTTTGGCGTCTCGGTTGCAGACAGCTGATTAGAGAAACCGCCATTTCGGTCACCGGACTGAAAAACCGGGGGTATATCTGTGCAATGTTCAATGTAGAGATAGAAAAAATTCGGTTGCTAAAAAAGTTAGGGTCTCGGTTTTAGTTCCAACGGAACCAATGCACCCCTTAATTTTTTTAATACAATTTTTATATATTATGAAAATAAATAAATAAATATAATATTGTAAATTTTAATTAAACAAAAAATTAATCATTAAATAACGCAACATGCTAATATTATAAGAAAATTTTTTAAAATTATTTTTTATTTAAATTTTAGGTACAAAATTAAGAAGGCAATATGACAATTTTTTCCTTCTAAAACTTTATCTTTTAAGAAAAATGATTGAGTTTTATTACTTTTTATAGTACCATCTTAAATATTATTCGGTGGTTAACCCTTTTTATTCAATTATATTCATTTATTATATTTTTAACATATGCAAATTAGTCCCCCAAATAGAGAACTTTAAGTAAATTAACCCCAAAATACATCGCCTTTTTATTTAGGTCCTTTCTTCCTTCATGAATCACCTATATTCTCATACTAAAATATTCTCCGATCAACTCCTCATTAAAATTTAAAAGCTTAGAAAATTTCAAGGCATCACGATGGAGAAAATTAATGGATAAGGAAGAGTTATTTAAAAAAAAAAAACAATTGGATGGAACAATCTTTAATATGGACAGATTTATTTATATCCAATAATTTAAATATGTAGTATAAATTATACAATACTTTTTAGAATAAAAAAATATAGATAAAATAATAACAAAACATAACAGATCCTTATTATTTAAAAAAAAAAAAAAAAACAATTGGATGGAACAATCTTTAATATGGACAGATTTATTTATATCCAATAATTTAAACATGCAATATAAATTATACAATACTTTTTAGAATAAAAAAATATAGATAAAATAATAACAAAACATAACAGATCCTTATTATAAAAAAATAAAAAAATAAAATAAAAACCATACCTGATTTTGTGGCTGAGTTAAACTTAATCCATCCTATTTATCCCTCTTAACTTTATTATAACAATAGGGATGGGGATTGGGTTGTATGGAAGACCTCACAAAGAAATGTTTTTATCAAAAAGTCCACTTAGGGTCATTTTGCTTAACAATGGACTCTACAATCAAAGAATGCAACCCAGCCACAAATTGTGATTATTCCCTTTCGTATAAAACATTCATTCTTCAAAAATAACTTTTACTATTCTAATTCAACATCTAATTTACATAAGAATACTTAAATTAAAGCAACGATAATTACTATTTCATTGAACATTTGCTTTTGAACCAATTGTGCATGCAAGATTATCGGGCACTCACTACAAGGTTTAATTTAAACTATCGAATTATCCTATCAATTCAATTTTCACCTCCTACAAAAAATGAACTCATCGTTTACTACCAGCAATTTAAAAATATGAGAATCTTGTTTTATACTCCAAATTGTATTAAATTATAAAACAAAAACTATTAGATAGAGTGAGAACTCCCAACATTAGGAGGCTCACTTTTTGTCTAATAATTTTTTTCTTTATCTTGACTTGCATAATAAAAGGTAATTTTTTTTCATCCCTTAACTTACTCCACTCTTATATCATGTAACTCGAATTGAGGATCTCTTATTTTCATTAAAAAAATTATTATTAAACTATTTAAGTCATTAACTCTATTTAACGGTTTTGGTTGTGCAGTTTGATGCATTCCAAATTACACAAGAATTTTATGTAAAAATATCAACTTTTTTAATAGAAACTTCCTTATATAAAGAAAACACAAAGAAGAAACAGATATCAAAGGGTTTTGTGACTCCATCGTCACCTTTTCTTTTCTCCTTCTCTTCCTTTTTTTCTCTGCTTTTTTTTGGGAGGGGGGCGGGGGGGGCTTGTTCCATTCTTTGCAAGACAACAAGAGACCCATGTGATTGAACAGGTGAATTCCATTTTAGATTTCAAACTAAAAATGTAATTTTCTAGTGGAAAATATACTAAGAATTTTCATTTTTTTAATGGGTTTACATTTGGAAACGAGGGGATTCAAATCTTAGCTATTGGGTTAGGAGATGCACTTTTCAACCTAACTTGTAGCCATTGGACCGTGAGATTGAGGTGCTACTAAGAATTTTCATTTTGGCAGCAAAAATTTTCAAATTTGCATTACGTAGTGATTTGACACCAGCATCTTGAATATAAGCAATAAAATTAGGAGTGAAGAGCCTAGATTCTCCAAAAACCTGAATGGTTGAGTTGTAAACAAACCAAGAAGATAAGAATAAAAACAAAGACAATTTAGTCCAGTAGTGATTTTTATAACACATGCCCAAGGATAACAAATTTCTCTTAGCGCATATAAGTGTAAATGGTATAATATTAGATACACTGACGATTATATCTTTTTTACAAATCACTTTGCCACACTCTCCTTCTCAAAGCTTATTTGTGTTGTTATTGTTATTGTTGTTGTTATTGTTATTATTATTATTTTTTGTGTCCAGGAAGAATCAGTTACTCTACTTCATGGACGGGTTACAGCGATGAGCTGAGCAACAGTTGAATTGTGGTAACATCTGATACCTTGCGTCAGCCATTGCCATAGCAGATTCCTTAGGCGAGTTCAGCAAGTAACCTCTTAAGAGGGTAAGGATGAGAAGGGTAGCTCGAACGAAGGTAGGGGGAGACAAGTCGCACAAGACCTCCGAGCCCTTTAAGGTTAAGAAGAAGATGGGCGATGGTAGTAAGGAGCAACACAAGGTAAAGAGAAATTGCTATCTGTGTGGTGGACCACGCTGGGCTAGGGACTGCTACAGCAGAACAAGTTCAATGCCAAAAACTGAATATTGACGGGTCTGCTAAAGGCTTTCATAGAAAATCAGCTGCAGGATGTGTAGAGAGATGATAGAGGTAACTCGTAATTGGTTGTTTAATTTTACCCCACACCTCGACCTTGGAATAGGTTTTGGTATTAGAGCAGAACTATATACTATTTGGCAGGGACCCCAGATTGCTCGGGATAGAGTATATGAGGGCATTAATAATGTCAAGACAGACTTGATGCTGCTGCCCAGATGCTTCAACAACATGATAATCACCCGACTGTTCTATGATTCACCGTCAGTAGATGCAAGCCTCTGTTGAGTCATCAATGGGATTACATTGGCACCATTCAACGTCTCATGGGGGAAAGCTAAAGCTAGCACTTGTTTCCCAGCAGTGGTGAAGGAAGCATGTAGGCTTAGAGCATCTGCCCACATTCCAAAAGAAGTAAAAGCCTCATTGTTACATCAGAATTTATTTCACGCAATAGGAGAATGTGCCCTGAATTTCCTCTATCTATTCTCTAATATTTGTAGAGTGTGAAGTAACTGATAAGATGGAAAGTTATAGACATACAATGCCGTTAATACAAATTTTCACTCAGATTCAATAACAAATAATACAACTATAACATTTAAAATTGAGGGACTACATGAACTGAAATCATTTATAGAATATTATTAGTAGTTTCACTTCCATCGGTAAATAAACTTGAACAACATGAATCCCGGACTGGACAGTCTAACGGTGGAATTTCCAGCCAAAACCTGTCAGCTGTTTTCTTGCATGTTGCAACCTCCTTAACACGTTGCAGAACACCAAGCATATAAAAATGCTTTCAGCATGATGTTCCTGTTGTTCGCTCTACCTTGTATGCATTGCACCCCCTCAAATTCACAATGCATATACTATGTACACAGAAATATTAATGCCTCATGAAGATATTCTTAAGTTGCAATTTCTCTTTTTTTTTTTTATTTTTTATTTTTTCCCTTTCCAGATCAATGCATAATTCATGCCCCTGGTTTGTCCATGGTTACACAGCCTCGAAAAGAACTCGGTGCTCCAAAAGATCTGACAAGACACTCCTCAATTTGTCAAGTGAAACAGGTTTTAATATGACACCGTCCATACCAACTCTCATGCAGTTCTCCTTGATGACCTTATCAGTATTCCCAATAAGTGCCACAATCAGTGGCTTTTCACGCAGTTTTGTAAACTTCTCACGTATTCTGAGAGCAATTTCATAACCATCCTTACCAGGCACACACACGTCCATAAGCACAACCTTGTGTTCTTGAGAAACCACACGCAAACACTCTTCACCAGAGCTTACAGTTGTTACCTCACATCCTAGGTGAACTAAAAGTCCCTTCATCACCATCCTACTAATCCTGCATTAGCACAAATAAAAGTTCAGTATTCAATCATATAGCTTCCCAAATGTGTGTTCCAAAGGAAAAATCAAAAACCAAGCAAAAAAAAATGCTTGAGTGGAAATGGGGAAATGAAAGGGCAATGATAAATGACTAATATAGGAAAAGGTCACCACTCTCAAATTTAAAATGTAAATGTATTTTAACACTTTAAATTGACTCCAAATCTCAAGCCCCCTCCCCCAACGCACACAAACACCTCAAAATAAAAGGGAAAAGAACTGACTATTAATTCATTTATGCAATGTAATAATCCACAAAAACTTTCAATTAATAATATGTTTCTAGAACAGAAAACAAGAATTTGGAGCCACATCACAATTTGTTTCATAATGGATGAGAGTTTTGCCAATACCTAGAGAATACAAAACCTTCAGTGGGAAGGCAGGGCAACAATTTCTCCTTTTTCCAAAAGAAATTACCGACTATCAAAAGTTATTAAGCAGCTGTAACACAACTTTTGGTAGTAAATTCATATAGTTGAAAACCAGACAGGCCCAGCTCCGCTATTCCTATTTCTGCAGTCTATTGTCAAACCTAAACCCAAAAGGGACTGTTTGGCAAAGCTTAAAAGTAAGTTGTGGGAGACATTCAAAAATTGGCTTTTAAAGTGGCTTTTAAGCAAGTTTTGAGTCTTTGAAATTTTTGAGAGAAGAATTTGCTTTTGAGCTCCACCAACCAGCCTAAAAGATAAAATGGGAAGCCCAAAAGGTTACACTTGAGATGTTAGGGCCACAATTAACATCCGACAAAATTCAGCTCCCTCAGAATTAAATGAAAGCCCATCCTATCATCCTGTGTACCTTTTATAGCTAGTATCATTTCAACTATCATTTACATAGATTGAAATTTAACTCAGTTGCTTTTTAGTATCAATAGGTAGCATAAAATGTCAAGCCACACAAGTAATCTTTAACTAACACCTATAGAAAGATACCATACCATAAATAGTTGCAGCCACTGAACAAGTTAGAACCTTTCCCTATTCTTTTATTTTTCTCCGCATTGGAATGTAAAGCAATGCAAAAGGCATCCTCCCTTATTGAAAGGATATAAAAAAGGGAACTAAGATTCAATATTATTAAAAACTTTTCCTCTGCTTCCACAATTAAATTGAACTGCTATCAACCAAGAAAAGGAAACAATAACTAGTGCAAAATTAAGACACAACAGGTCCAGATCCTCTTGGTAGCCAGCATCCGTTTTATCAGTTTGCATACCATTTACAGCCAATAAATTTTTTGATACCATTATGCAGTCAAAAATGTCACAATAGCTACAAGAAGCTGTCTTATAGATCTATCAGAATGAACTATCCTAGGTAAAGTCTCAGAAGAGGAAGCAAGGTTGCAGAAAGCACTAGGAGGTGGTGGGCATTGGGCCACTGCCCAGCACCCAGGCAGTACTTAGGCACCATCTAAAGGCTGTAGAGTGCTCTAGGCCCTTTTTTCTTTTCTTTTCTTTTTTTCTTTTTTTCTTTCTTTTTTTGGCAAAAAAAGCCAAAATAGAACAGAAAAATCCAAAAAACTAGAAGAAACACCTGACTTTACTAGCTAGAGCCTAGGCAAGGCAGTAGAACACTGCCTAGTGCTTAAGCAGTGCCTGAATGTCACCTAGGGGAGCTTTTTGCAACATTTAAAGGAAGATAAGATGCACATAATATGGAAATTTCAGGGACAAGCATAATAAAGACAGAAAAGGAATGAGCAGACACTTTATCAATAAGTAGAATTAAAAGATGAGACCATATTTGTAGAGAAATACGGATTAATGAAAGTCATGGAACTGACCCATTTTCATCCAAAACCAAGACTTTAAGCCCATGAAAATTTGCCTGCCCATGATTGGCTGCTACCATAGGCATAAAGGGCAGCTTAGATTCACTCAAGCGCTCTGGGATCCCGAGCTTTACAAGGAAGATAGCAGTACATCCCTTGCCTAGGCCATCACTCTCAATCCAAATATTACCCTCCATAAGGTTTACAAACCTGAATGTTCAATAGAAAAGAAAACATTTTAAGAACCTAAACATAACAAAGAGTTAAATACACAAGTGCACAACATATTTTAGCAATTTAATATTCTATCAGCTAACAGATCAAAGAAATGTTATACCAAAAAGAAAAAAACAGAGTGAGAAAGATCAGACAAACCGTACAGAATCTCTTCACAGAGGAATGCATTGCCGACAAACTAAAGGCAATTTGATAAAATCACAAAATTGAAGTACCTCTTACAAATTGCAAGGCCAAGTCCACTACCACCAGAATTTTTGGTAGATTGGGTTTGTGCAAATTTGGTAAATATCTTGGGAATATCTTGGGGGCTAATTCCAGCACCGAAATCTTTCACCTACACCAGAAGCACATACATAATCAAATTCCAACAGAGAAACTATAAAGCATCCTGAGGAATACAGTCACAATGAAACATCAAAAGAACTAACCTGTACACGCAAATAAAAGTGATTATCACTTGGAACAGGGGAAAAGTCAGGGGTTCGAGAATCTCTTAAAGATTCTGACTTCACCATGAAGGCAGTAATTGTGATGCTGCCCTCCTTGGAGAACTTCACAGCATTCCCAACAACATTCAAAATTGTTTGCATCAGGTGCTTCTCATCACCAATGGCATATTCTGGTACATCTGGAGCCAAATTCACTGTGACAAGCAACTTTTTAACAGACGCAATGGGCTTGATTAAGTTGAGAACCTACAATGAGAAAGACACGTTAAAATAAATGCAAAATCTACACACATGTGCACAGCCACAAACACATAATACCAACGAACATAACAAAATAATTCATTCTTAGTAGGTACATATTAGTCTACCTCCCTGAAAACAGCATGAAGATTAAAAGTTTCAAGTTCAAGTTGAAGGCTCCCATCTTCAAGCCTTGAAAGATCCAATACATCATTTATCAGAGTAGCCAAGAGGTTACTACTTTTAAGAATTGTTTCAACCATCAGACGTTGCTCAGGTGTCAACTCAGTTTCCAGAAGCAAGGAAGCAAGTGCAATAATTGCATCCATTGGGGTTCTCATTTCATGGTTCATAACAGCCAAGAAATCATTACGAGCACGAATTGCTGTTTCTGCTTCTCTTCTGGCCAGATCAAGTGCAACATTCTGCTCCATGAGAAGATCTCTAGCCCTCATTGATTCTTCAAGGATTGCAGCATGTGAAAGAGCAACTGCCACCTGGTTTATCCATATGAGTGACAAAATAACACCTTTTGATAACATAATATATCAAAACATAGCATTTAAGATGGACTACTATGGAATCAATTTACAAACAATGAAAACATACAACTTCTGGGTTCTAAGAGGCAGATTTTCATTATTTTTTCCCTCTTTACACCAATAACTATGTTTTTCATTTTAAAATAACAAACAAACAAATAGACCAGAAAAATAATTTGACTCTATTCTTTGATACAAAAGCAGGGAAGATTGGTACCATTCAATTTAAATTTCAGTACCCATACCCCAATCACACCCCCTATCATGTAAACTAGCCGTCAAATCTGTATTTTGTTTGCATGTCAACTAAAGAAATTAAGAGACAAGCCAACCCAATGCTCCAAATGCAATCTAGGCTTCCATTCAGGTGCTCAAGAAAAGTTTAAGAAATGAACTACTGATATAGCCAAATAAAACAAATGACAACTTAAATCTTACCCACAGAACAGACTAACTGATCAATGTATGCAAGTGATGAACAAACTGAAGGAAATTAGGCTGAAAGTTACAAGAATAAAGCAAACTGTAGGGCAGACAAGGAAAGAGGATAAGTAAGAAATACTACCTGGTCAGCAACTACTTCAACAAGCTCCAACTCATGAACATGCCACTGCCTTGCACTATCTGAGGGAAGCATCAAAACCATCAAGGCATAGCGTTTTGTTGAAAGCTCTGGCCAGTCATTAATTTGGAAATTAGAAAGATGCAGGAGTGGGACACGCACAGCCACCACCTCTCCAGGCATGTACTTCCCTGCAGTAGGCCTTAGTCTTGCCACTGCACAATTTGGAGATATTTTTACAGCACGATTGGTATTGAATACTTGATTGATAACAGGAAGCTGGATGGGTACAGTGTATTCAACTGGATTTTGCTGACGAAGAGTGTAGGATAGTTGAAGCTCTAAACCAGTACGTGTAGGCATCCACAAGGCACACTCTTCTAATTCCAATGTTCTTCCCAATTCCACAAGAGTGGTTTTCAGTATAGTGTGCCTATCAAGAGTGCTTCTGATCTCATGAGTTAGCATCCGAACATGTCGTCCTGTCTCTTCCTGTGTACGAATCAGACCCATTTCTCTGTCAAGCTCTGCAGCCTTATTTTTCAAAAATAATTCTCTTGTTTTCACACTCAATAGATCAGGAATAATATGTACAAGCGTCAGAGCAGTTGCACATGACACCACAGCTGTGCAAACCTTTGCAATGGTCATGACTATTTCCACGGTTCGTGTATGCATTGTAAAAGTCCACAAATTTATCAGATGTGTTGCCCCACATAACACTATAAATGCCCCAAATTGCACAAGGACCCATCTATAAGGAAACAAGGCAGATTTTTTGACAAAGTAAATAAGCTCAAGAGGAATCGAGAAGTAAGCCAGTGCAATAAAGAAATCTGAAATATATTGATATTTCATCAAGAGTTCATCCGCCGGCAATTGCGGCTCAATGCAGTTGCAAGACTCAATCATTGTGAATGATCTACCTTAGCTTTAGTTTCTTTTTGGCATACCTGATAGTAAATAAATAAACTGATCAATAGGATATCATACCACACTAACTCTTTGCAAATATATTGAATGAAATTGTGTAAGAGTGTTACAACATGGATGCATGTCATTGATGTATCAATATGCAAAGAAAGCAAGACTTCTGAAAAGCATAAGAACTAAGACAAATAATGAAATCAAAGAAGACAAAGAACTATTCTATAAGAGAAAAATGGAGAACATACATGTATGGATGTATAAGTACTAGACATAATTTTTGTCCTCAGCTAAATAACAATTAAAAACATTAACTTGAATCTGATTATGAGAAAATGCTAAAACAGAAGTTTCAAAAATTCATTTTTCTTCAAAAGAAGCGGCTTTTGTGGCATGAATAAAATAAGATTGAGTGGAAGATACAGACAACCCCAAGAAAAATACATGAATGTAATTAGATGAAATCTTAATATCAATAAAACTTTAAAAAGTATATACAATTTAAGAATACATAAAACAGAACAAAATGAAAATTACACACTAAAGCATAAAGCTTGTAAATCCCAAGTGACCTTAGTGTCTAGCAGAGAAAATCAAACAAGGTAAAGCAGGTACACTCATGAAAATAATTTTAACACTCATATATTATCACTTAGATCCAACCCTAAAAATATTAACCCATACTCCTAACTCTTGAGCATAAAAAATTTCTACATCTTAACCAAAAGCCACTCAGTCAAATACAAAGGTTAAAAAGGTAAAGAAAATGGAAAGTGAATGCAGAAACAGAAACAGAAACAGGTAAACACAAATCCACCAATATCATACCCTTCAAACAGGGAGAGAGCAAAACATTTGAATAAAATTTAATAAACAACAAATGTCCCAGACTTCACACCTGTTATTTCTTCCCCGGGAAAACTAATTAAAATTAATTTAACCAAATATCTTTCCCCTAAATAGCAATCTTTACCTTCTTTAAAATCTGAATATGCATTACACATGCACATAATCTTGCTAAAAATCTAAAGAAATCAAACCCAAAAGTTAATTATATCCCAAAAATAAAAGCGAAAAATAGGAAAGTATCGTTGATGCATCTAACTATCTACTAACCCAGATGTATGAACTTGCATATATTTATAAAGAAATACTAGAATTGAATTCAAATTCAAACACCCTTTAAACCTCAAAACAAAATCTATCTATCCTAATTGATTAAGTTAAATACAATTGGAGAAATCTATCTTGCTTCCCAGCTGAGACTAAACATAAAATTCACCAACATCGCAGCAGAAAAGGAAACCCAAAAGGTAAAATAAATACCCAAGTGAGAAGAACTATACCTGAACCAATTCTTCTTAGGAAAGAAAAAGAAGAAGAAAAGAAAAAACAGACCCAGTTTATAAACAGGTCAAAAAGGGACCAAAATGGAACAGAAATGGAGGAGAAAAAACATTAAAAAGGAAGCAAAAATGGAAAAAGAAAACACCTTTTTATCTTGGGCAAGTGTTGTTGTTAAAAGGGAAGCTAAAATTGCAGTCTTGTGAATATAATTCGGACCCGTGATGTCCTGTTCGGACCCCTTTGACGATCTGCTTCTCCCTCTGGTCTTGTTTCTTTCAATGGAGAGTAAAGATAGCACGGAAGTAAAGAACAGAAAGAATAAGGGGCTAAGGTATTTCCGGCTGTGACTATCTTATGGTAACAGCCAATCAAATGAAAGTAGTTTGGGCTGTAAATGAAGAATTGGGCCTTTGGGTGTAAATGGGTCGCTTATTTGTGTTCGACTTGACTGAAGTCCAAGAATATAAAGCGTTTCGTATCATCCCTGTCATGTTCTTGGATTTTCGAAATTATTGATCCGAGTAAAAAAAGTTCGATTTCTTTTAAATAAGATCTTGAGTTCGAGCATTATGAATGGAAAAACAAGTGTTGAGAGAGTTTTCTCTTAATAAATTTTTTTATTTTGGATTAATCGAAACTCAATGTGGTTATTAGATACCCAAAGGTTGATATCAAAAAATCTGTTATTAGATTTATATATGTATATATATATATATACACATTAGAAGATTAATTATTTAACATAAGAGAGATTTGAATTTTTTATCTTAATATTAAATTAAGATTTTTTTGTTATTAGGTACTAACTAAGTGAAGCTCTTGTTGATGATCTCTTTTTAATAGTATATTATTTGACTGTTATACACAATTAATAGTTATTACAATAATATTAATGATTTATTGATTCGAGTAAAAAAATTTCAATCCTCTTTAAATAAGGTTTTGAGTTCAAGTTTCAAGTAAAAAGAGTTTAATTTCCTTTAAATAAAATCTTGAATTTGAATTTTGTGAATTAAAAAATAGATTTTGAAAGAATTTTCTTTTTATAAGATCTAATGTGGTTCGACTCTAAATTAGTAAAAATCTAACATGACTTCTAGATACGAGAATTGATACCAAAAAAATAACTATAATAATTAGTTAATAGTAGTAACAATTAATTAATTGAGTTGATTAAATTGTTAGTATTTAGGATAGTGATACGTACACCCATGAACCAGCACCCATTTTTACACCAAAATTGGTTTAAACAGTAAAATTACAAATTTACTCTTCTCACTAAATCTATTTCCCACGGAACAAATCCCAACAAAACTCAAGCATTCAAGCACATTCAACAACCAAATCCCAGCAAAATTCAAGCATTCAAGCACATTCAACAACAAAATCCTAGGAAAACTCAAGCATTTCAACAAATCCATCCATTCAAAAAAAAAAAATCAGAATTTCTCTGGTGAGAACCCGAGCTGGGTTCTCTGGTGAGAGAACCCAGCTCGGTTTCTCCATCGAGAGAGAGAAAAAAAGAAGAAGAAGAAAGAAAGAGGTGAGGGAAAGAAGAAGAATGATCGGCTATGAAGGTGATGAAGATTAGAGATGGGTGATTGATGATGAAGAAGAATGATCGGTGATGAAGGTGGAGAATGATGAAGATCGGAGATGATGGGTAAAAATGGTGATTAGAGGATGATGGAAGAAAAAGAGGAGGAAGGTTAAATTTGTAATTTTATTCTTCCATTTATTTGGTTTATACAGAAAAACCCTTATTTTATAATATGTGCAACTACCGATGTTGAACCAGTGGGTGTACATATCTTTATCCAAATTTTTGTTGTAATGGGTAAAAGATTGATTTTAGCAAATATTGTTTGAACTTATTGATTGAGGCTGGGGTAGTTAAATTTTTTATTTTCATCATTGTGGCTATCTAGATCATATGATCATATGTTTTGCCAATATACCTCTTATCGTCTACTTGCTGATTTTTTTTTTTTTTTTGACTTATCTCCTATGAACACTTTTTTAGTATTAATTATTATTGAAAAAAAAATAAAAATTAATTTTCGCATAATCAATTATTTAATTAAAAATAATTCATGTAGTATAAGTGGAAATTAATGTAAGTTTTAATCATTTTCAATATCAATTAATTTAAAAAATATATATTAAATATATTCTTTAACTTTTAGATATATGTCTAAAAAAATCTCTTTTTTCAGTACTGTAATTTTTTTTTTTTTTTGAAAGATCTTTCATAATTTAGTTTCATTTACACAATTGCACTCAATGTACTTGGAAAGGCAAGGATATATACTCATTGAAGCTCTTGATTAATTTCATACACTGCAGCGCAACAAATATCCTCATACCCTGACCTGGCTGCGATCGTTCTGTGGAGTGTGGCCATATCTCTTGGACACGCAGGGCATGCGAGATACCCTCCCAAGAATTTCAATTGAAACTATCCGGTGGTTGGGAATTGATACTCACAACCTAAAAATATACAAAGAATTTAAAATTATCTTTTTGGGGTGGGAAGGGAGTTGGGGAGGGGGCATGCGACCCCTTGGCATTTTCTGTCCTCCGTCCTTTAACTAGTCCTTGGCCTCTTCCATCCCTTGTCCATAAATATCGGGTAATATTTGTAGAGGACATAATTTATTAAAATTATTTGTATTTAAATTGTGTTGAAAGAATTGAAACTTACATTTTTAACTTAATTTGAATAACTTTTTAATAATTTAAACCAACCTTAATAGGTCAAATTCTTTCATACTTTGTTAAAAACTAAATGATATATATATATATATTGCTGTTGAACTGAGGTCCAAATAACTAGCTCTAATTTCTCACTAACTCCATTCATAAAACTCGATGAGTGGTAGCTTGCTAAGGGGTTTGCTCACTTATTCCCACCTTTTTGTTACAAAGGTTAAAGTACTGGCCGGGAAAGTATTAGGCTTCGTTTGTCTCTGATGTGCTATGGGTATAGCCATTTTTACCAAGGTTCAAATGAAATTTTAGTGCTGGAGTTGCCTGCAACCTGACTTTGGGACACACTAGCCCTCAAAAGGAGAACAAATTTCTTCCATATTCATATTTCTTCTGCTTAGTCCTAGTGGAAGTTGTATTAGTTCCCACTAGCTATTTAAACTCTACCTTGCCCCCTTGTTCTCTATCCTAATTCAGCATCCTTACTTTTAAAATTCCTGCTCATATTTTATTTTATTTTTTTCTATCCATTCATCTCCTGCATGTTGTCAATCGGTACTCTTATTATTCAGGGGAAGTTTTTGATTCATCAGAGAGACAAACTCATGGCAAAATATATATCTAATGAGTTAATCGGAGAAATACTGTCTTTTACTAGTCAAGAGCCTCCTACGATTTGAGAATGTATCAAAATCATGGCATTCCCTTATACATGATCCTTTGTTTATCAAATCTCATCTTCGAGTATCAACCAAAACCAAATCCAATTCTGTTCTCCTTGGCCTTGCTAAGTATTCAGATCTCTGTTTAAGTAAAATCACTTCATGCAATTTAAGTAAAATCACTAACCATTACTTTTAAATTTTTTTATTAATTGAATCCTTTGTCTAGGAAAGCTGAGGGATAATTAAGTATATTTATACCTTAATACTACAATAATTAAAAGATAAAGTAGATGTTATTATTATTATTATTATTATTTAACACAATTCTTAATTTCACACTTTTTCAAAACAAAATCTTTCTATCAACTTTTTTAACATAAGACTTACTTGATTACCTTTTCACAACCTTTTTATTATCAACTTTTTACCAAACATTAAAAAATTAATAACTCCAATAATATTCTATTACATAAGTGACTACTTTGATATAATATTTTTTAACTTCTAAAAGATTACCTTTTCAATTACTTTCCTCATAAAAAAACATTTTTAATAAACTTGCACTTAGGAC